ACTTTGATATTTTACTAAAACTTGATGTATTACGTGCAATTATTAATTCTCGTACACATAACAACGTAACAAAAACTTATCAACGCCCATTCTTGCGGTGGAAATTGATTCTTCGGTTCTAAATTTCTTGTAAACAATTTGTTCGGTTCACTAAGTAAACATGCAAGCGTGTACCATCGATGGTACACGTGGCACGGAACGTGTTAATTAATTCGGCTTGTCACAATGATTATCAGCGTAATTTTCCGTCGTAAATATTCGTTTTGCGCGTGAATGCACAGAAACGTAGTTCTTTGTTTCGTTTGCTTCCATTCTGAGATTTAGGCGATGAACTCGCCGATTTTTTAGAAATATCATAATATTTAATATAAAAATAATATTATTATATATTATTATATTTAGAAATATTTTAACTTGCTATTTGAAAAGTTAGAACTTAGATTTTATATTGATGGAACTATTTCATTTGACGAGGACACAGTAAATGATTAAAAATATGAAAATTGAACAATTTTACTATTTAATATTAAAGAAACGAAGACGTGACCTGGTTGGAAATAGTATTATTTTCGTAACAACGAAGTATTAGTCAAAATTCTAGGATTTAGGTTGAATTCAATTTAACTGTCAATTAATTTTTCAAAAAAGATCAAATACAATCTGGAAATGGAAATCTGTGAATACACATGAAAATGATTATACGCAAATGTCGGCAAACAGTGTCAATTTTTCAAGGAAATAAAATCTCCGGAACAAACGAAAACAAATGAAAATGGTTCTGCGGAAATTTCAGCGAACAGTGTCGAATATGTCAGCGAATTTTCCGAGGAAATAAAAACTCCGAACAAATGAGAACAAATGAAAATGATTCTGCGGAAATTTCAGCGAACAGTGTCAGATGTGTCGGCGAATTTTCCAAGGGAATAAAATCTCCAGAAATAAAAGCCAGCATTTTCGATACAAATGAAAATGGTTGAGCGCGAATTTCAGCGAACAGCGTTAAAAGAGTCGATCGATTTCGCGCGCGGAAGGATCAAATCTGTAAAAATAAAATCCAGTAAATCCGAGTGAAAATGATCGTGCGCAAATTTCAACAAACATCGTCGAACAACATGTTTTACACGGAGTGTAATTAAAAACGCGCGAAGTTCGGAGAGCAAGGCTGCGAATTTTGTTTGGCAGCGAAGCAAGAAGCCGTATGCAGTCCCGTGTCAAGTCGGCCAACCATACTCCGGAATGATTATCTAGTGTCACGAGGTCAGTTTCGGGTCATCCTATCTCCCTGGAAGCAGCTCCTCCGTCTTCCAAGATAACGCGGACGCGATAAACACCCACGTCCGCGTTTACCGATGCTCTCGTAGAAACGAGGCAATTACGTGTCAACTTCAAAAACGCAACCCGCGGATATGGGTCAGGAGAATTTCAACTTTGCAATTATGAACCCGGAGAAAGGCTTGTCGGATGGGAACTGCGATTCTATGTCGAGCCTTTGGTACCAGAGTTCTCACAATACTAGATTCACGGAGCGGTAGAAGCTGCTGTTTTATTTCTCGTTGTAAAACTGACAATAACATATTCATTTTTAACGATTTTTATTGCAGTATCTGTCCTGGGTAACAAATTAATTTAATAAATTCCTCAGAATTATTATGTGAGTATCAACTATTATAATTAGTAACAGTGTGCGAGTATAAATTATTTTAATTAGTAACAGTGTGCGAGTATGAATTATTTTAATTAGTAATAGTGTGCAAGTATGAATTATTTTAATTAGTAATAGTGTGCAAGTATAAATTATTTTAATTAGTGACAGTGTGTGAGTATGAATTATTTTGATTAGTGACAGTGTGTGAGTATGAGTTATTTTAATTAGTAACAGTGTGCGAGTATGAATTATTTTAATTA